CCCCAAACCCTAAAAAACCCAAAAACACCCAAGCCAAAATCCAAGTCGAAGCGTCATGAAGCAGTCCAAGGTGTTCAGCAGCGGCACCTTCCAGGGCCAGGCCTCAAGGAAGGCGCAAAGTCAGCTCGCATGAGTTACCCTCAAACCTAAACAAGCCCTAAACCCTCAGACCGTTCTGACCGCAGTGAGTCTCTCGATTCTCGATATCACATTTGATAAGGCTGATAAGGTCTTACAGGTTCCGTAGGGTGTTACAGGGTCTCTGTACAATTTTGTATTTTCATGTGGCTCCTCTGCTGTCCTTCAATTTCCTTGATCCGGACGTGGACCACAGAAAAGAAACCTACGTAGTTGAAGAGTCTAAACAAAATATGACTTTTCGAGAGATCCCCAATCCGAAAAAAAAGACTGAACATGTCTCAAAACAGCCGAAAACTAGAGCCCCCATTGTCTTCGAGGGTTCGTTCGAGCTGCGCGGGCTCCTCCGGTGAGGAAAAGCAGCATGGTCAGCGTCACGAACCTCAGACAATGGCCATAGACTCTATAGGGCTTAGGTGCGTAAGGCCCGGAATGTGGGGCCTTGTAATTAGCTGTGGGGCTTAAAAGATGCTGGGTTAAGGGTGCGATCGAGGGTTCAGGGTTTAGGGTTCTGACATACTCCGTGTCGGCTGCACACCAATCAGCAATGACAAAACATAAACCCTAAGCCTACATGTCCACAAAGCAGCATTCAGAGAGGGGGCTTTTGGACACCGGAGCGCCTGAGCAATCGCCGGAATCCCATGTCATGAAGATCCAGCCGTTTCAGTAGCCCTTCATGCGCACATCCGAAGGCTCAATCCGGAACCCGAAACTAATGCGAGCACTTCGAGACCCCAAAGTGTTTTATGTAGGGGCCTTAATAATTANNATAAGAACCTACAAAAAAAGTGGGTTATGGTAGGTTAAGGTAAGGCTTAAAGACCTCATCGACTTCCAGGCTTTCGAGGAGGAGGCCGACGTAATATAGGGGCCTTAATAATTAGAATAATGTTTTGGGGTACATTATAGTATACTCATAGTACGGAACCCCCAAAATAGAATAGGTATTTATGTAGGCCCCAATTTAGGGCTAAAAGGTTTTGAAACGATGGGTGGCGAGGCTTGGACCGCCGGGAAGTCGGTGGCAAGCCTGGGCCACATGGATGAACAGCGCTGTTTTCAAGCTTCTGCGGTTCGGGCTTACTGTTCAGGGGTTGTGGGTATTTAGGATTTAGGATTTCAGAAGTTCCCTGCACCCTAGACCCTAAACGGGAGACAACGAGCCGGATAGGGGTGTTCTTGGAAAAGTGAGACGTTCGGCGAAGCTTCTGTTCCTGCCCTATAATCCCTAACCTGCCGTGCCCTACACTTCCACCATCATCGCGCGGGGCTTCTCAAGGCTTCCCCTAAATCTTCATACCCTAAACTCAACACCGTTGAACCCTTATGACCTAAATCCCGAAACCTCGTAAACCCTTAAAATCCCCCAAATGTACACGCCGCTGATGCTCAGAGTCTTACAGGTGCTACGGGTGCTATGGCATGTACTCAAGCCTTCCAGAAGTTTTTCTACGTACGTTGAAGCCAAAGTGTATAATACTATCAGGGTATTTGGATCCTTGGGCGGAAAGGCCCATGTCATATGCAAGGCTTTTTGGCCCGAAGACCATGCTTATATGCATTTAGGCGGTGTTGAATTCAGGACCGTACTGCTCCATAGATCTGAACCCTAAACTCTAGACTCTTCATTACTTCAGAGTCTTCGAAGTGTTGGAGTAAGCCATGCACTCGGCAAGCACTTGGGGTACCAGTGTCGAGATACGCACACAAGGCCGCAATCAACCTAATTGAACCACTGTCCTGGCCCCAACTCTGGATCAGCTCAATGAGGAACGGTCCAGGTTGGGCCAAGAGCAATGGAAAGCCTTATACTTATGACTTATACAGCGTCCCTCCAGCCTGACACAACCCAACCCATCACTCTGCAGCCCTCATCATGCAGCGTCTGCTCGAGCCAAGCCACGCCAGGGGCAATGAGAGAAGTGGGCCCCTCATCAGCAGCGGCACGCCCCACCACCAGCTATCCAGGCCTGACGGAGGTCTGGGCCCAGGGCTGTATCGGATCAGCTTGTTTTTGATTTTGGGCGGGGCTTACCCACTAGAAAAAGGTTTTGGGGGTATAATGTAGTATACATATAATGGCGGACCCTACGGAACAGTAGTGGCACCGATTCCGACCCCGATAGTCCTTGCTCAGGATTTTCGGAGCCAGCTTGAGTGGCCCGAATCCTTGTTCACCGGTGTTTCGACGTCAACACACAGCTGCGTGCACACCGCACCCACCAGTGCACCACGGTCTTGCTACTGTAGAGGTCGGTACAATTCGTACAAGTGTCCCCTTGTAGTCTCTGTTATATATATATATACACACACACATACACATACATATGCATGCAGGTTGACAGGTACATAAATGGGTAGATACCGGGTAGATAAGTAGGTGGATAGATAGATGTAGAACATTACTCTATGTGCGACAGGCCCGCAAAACCCCTTTGTAGTCGCTGTACATCATATATACTACACTCTATACCCCAGGCCCCAAACCCGACTCTAATCATTCAGATAAGGAACTTTTGGGCATCACCCTAAACCCTAAACCCTGAACCCTAAACCCCAACCCCTAAAACCTAAACAGAGCCCCTTTCCTTTCATCATTCTTGCATGCTGTCGAGCTTCGAAAGCGGAAGACCAGAAACCGAGCGGATCGAACCTAGTTTCAGAGGCTAGTTGAGGGGTTTAGGGTTTAGGGATACATGGAATAAGCTTTAATTACAAGGACTTTTGGGTCTTGAGAAGTTTCATGGCTGCCGTGACACTTCTAGCAGGGTCTCGGGTTTAATCACAGTATATACCTACCGTTTTAAGGGTTAGACCCTATGATTAAGGGGTCATAGTCTACTATTTTGTAGGGTTTGGGGCTACAGGTAGCGATACAGATCCAATAATAAAGAGACTACAAGGAGAAGGAGCAGATACCATCATGATTTTTCGGTTGCTACAGTATAGCTGTCGCGTTCTGGGTTATCACCAACTATTCTACGGCTTTCTCAGCCTCAATCCTCTAGCCCTAAACTCTACAACTACAAGGCCTGTGGAGCCCCGATGTAAGGCCAAAGCCCTGCGATGCGAGGACAGATGCCTGCAAACCGGGTAGAAAGGCTTCTCAATAAGTTTCCTTAGTCTGAGTTCCAGCACCAAGCCGCAAAAGACCATTTGTGACTTAGACCCCTGCTTGACACTCCGCACTTGTTTCGAATCCTTACTACTACTATTTGCGCTGTAATCCTCTACGTAGGGATTCTGCCCTTCACAACACTCCCTCCCCGCCCTCCAACAACATATTCGTCGCGGTCCTAAGCCCTCAGCCCTAAACCCGAAGACCTAAACCCTAAACCCAAAGCCCTAAGCCCTAAACTGGCCCTAAACCCAAATCCAAAGCCCCAAACCCTAAACCGTAAACCCCAAACCCTAAGCCCTAGCCTAAACCCGCAACCCTCAACCCTAAACCCCTGAACCCCCAACCCCCAGCCCTAAACCCCTGAACCCCCAAACCCCCAGCCCTAAACCCCAAAATCCGGAAACTCTCAGCCCTAAACCCCAAAACCCCCAAACCCTCAGCCCTAAACCCCTGAACCCTGCGGCGCGGGAGCATAGTCGTGCTGCCCCCGCGAGCTCCAGATGGGCACCATGACGGCCAGGTAGATGCACAAGGACAGAAAGCCAAGCCTAGGGTTTAGGGTTTAAGGGTTTAGGGTTTAGGGGTTGCGGGGGTTTGGGGTTTAGGGGTTTAGGGCTTTAGGTGTTGAGGGTTTCGGGTTTAGGGGGTTCAGGATTGAGGCATTGGGGCTCAGGGCTAAGGGCTGGTAGGGCTTCAGGATTAAGTGGTTCAGTGTAGATGCACAGGGACAGGAAGCCCAGCCTTCAATCAAGTGGTGTAAGATAATGGCTCTATACTTAGAAGTCTATAGAAGGATCTATTTACGGTTTGGAGGAAGCTGAGCCTAGGCCGAAGCAAGGGCTAAGGCCTCAGGGTTTGGAGAGGCCTGCGGCCTAAGTCGCTAGAGTTTTGGAAAGTTTTGCACTAGACGAGAGGCCAAGCGTAGGCGAAAACCTCGCTTTACAGGGTGGGTGTTCACAGGCTTAGGTCTCGGTTTCGTGCTGAAGAAGCTTGGTGACTTTTAGGGTTTGTGCAGTCGAATGTAAGTACCCTAAGCTGACGCTACCACCAACTAGGGGCTGTGTAGTCGAATTGGATGTAAAGCCTAGCAACCACTGGGGTCGCAATATTGAGTCATGAAATTCCCTTATAGCGACAGTCGCGTTGTAAGTACAGTATAATATACCCTACTTCTATTGCTCAAGGCCCCTAAGGTGCCAACAACACACAGCGGTATGTCGATGTTACATCTGGGGCTTTCGGGGGAAGCCCTCACATCGTTGCCGCATGCTTGGGCAATTCGAACAGCTGTCTTGGCCGGGGGGCACCCCGAACACCAGCAAAGCAAGGCCGGCAACCTTGGCTTTTCTTTGGCTTGGGCTGGCGCTTGCGCCAACACCCGTCGGTTGAAAAGCTGAACAAAAGGGCAACTCCGTTGGGGCTGTTGAGAGTTTTCGGATGCCCGCAGGCACCGACGCCCTGAAAGCTAAACATGTGACAGCAAGGCCTAAACGGCCCTAAACCGACAAGCCTGAACCGTCTTATCTAAACCCAGGACCCTTCAGACTGCAGCCTCATAAACTACATAAGCCCTCAGCCCTCATAACCCTCAGCCTGAACCCTAAACCCGCTAACCTAAGCCCTCAACAAATATAACTTTCAACCAACCTAACAGGCTCAACTTGTAAGGCGTTTCTGCAACAAGGGCATGGCAGCCGTCATGATGGCGTGGCTCTCGGATCCGCAGGTCACGGCCGGATACCTTGGACCGGGGGGTTTCGTGCTCTAAAGTTTACAGTTTCAGGGGGTGTTTAGGCATCATTATTCTTCAAAGTTTATTTAGGTTTTAGGTTTAAGGTGTTATGGTTTAGGGTTTGGGGGTTAGATTTTGGGTTAGGTTTGGGCGTTAGACTTGCTTAGAGCACAGTGATAGGGTTTACAGGGTTCGGGTTCGCAGTTGCCTGTTGTGGAGCTGCTCGTTAGACTGAGGTTGGTTCTGGTTGCAGGGCTAACGGACAGGGTTGCAGCTTTAGGGGGCTAATGGCTACCTAGCTTGGCATGGTCTTTGGCCGCCCTGAACCCTGTACCTGCTGAAACACAGAAAGGGCTTAGAGTAGGAAACTAGATCAGGATGATGGTAGCGCTTTCCTACTAGCTGTATGCATATGCAAGCGACAAGCGTTCGGAGACATCTGCACCATGTTTTCGGGCATTTTCGGGCTATCAAGCTCCGCTTATCCTGAGATCCCACGGAGTACCCTTATACGGATCTCGAAACCCGAAGCTCCCAAGCCGCGATGCGTAGACGGTTCCCCAACAAACCCGAGCTAGCCAGGCCCTGCAACCCCAAGACTTCATGGCACCTTTGCAGTGCGCCTACAGGACTCTATCCAGCTTATCACCTCGAGCATGATAGCTGCTGAGGGACCAGTGGGAAGGTCTGTCTTTCAAACCGAAAGCCAGCCTGTGAAAACCGGCTTCCTTGCCAAAGCACTTGAGTATGCTGTGGACGCCGTTGGGATGGCTGAAGCACATCCTCAGACTATCGCAGCTCGGTTTGGGGAATTGGAAGGAGCTTGAACCCCTCCCTAAACCCTAAGCAGCCTAAGCCCCTAAACCCTAAACCCCTAAAAATCCCCCCTGCATTCTGAAGGGCAGAGCTACAAATTATGGACCAACCGTGTACACCCAGGCTGCTCGACTGCAAGTTTGACGCAGACACCCTACGCCAGCGATGCGGAGTCACGCATGTCCAAAGACAAAGCTCAGGTGTGGATGTTCGGCCACGGATTGTCCCGAATCACCTGAAATTGCCAAAACAGCATACCCGCAATGTACCACCCGAACTTCACAACTCCAACAGCATATCAGACCTATCATCACCAGAAAACGCCACCAACTCTCAAGCGAAAGTGCTACAACAGTAGCCGTTGAATCCAGACCAAGGAGCAACGGTGCCAGCGCTATGTTGCTCATGGTGCTGAACCCCACTTGCATCACCTGCATGAGGGGGCAGCTGCAGGGATTCATGATTTGAGGTAGACCATGGAACTTGTTGACAGCTTCGAGGATTAGAGTTTAGGGTATTGTGGTTTGGCATGATGGTACAGATGTGCACTACTTGAAACACTGCCCGAGTGCAATCTCATAAGGATCAAAGCCACAACCTGTCAAGATACCATGCTGACAGGAACAGCTTCGAAGAATGTTATGAATGTCTAGAAACATCTATGTGGCTGCTATATGTGGCTTGGCCGATCCATCTTCTATTTTGGGTTTTATGTACACCTGTATGCACTTCTCCGCCTGACCCATCACGCTGCACGTCTTCGTGGTCTCCCAGCGATGCCTGGAATTGCCAAGCGATTGCAGATATTGATGTTGACTGAATTCTATGCCAATCAAAGTTTAAGGGAAGGCCGTGGAGGAACAAGTCAGTCGAGAAACCCTAAACACTTCCGGTTCTGAACCTTGCAAGCCTCCAACCATTTAGCGAGCATCTGGAGCTGGGAAGCCCTGCAAACCCTAAACCCCAATAACCCTAAACCCCACTAACCCTAAACCCTACACCCCTAAAGCCCTAAACCCCTAAATCCTAGCTGTACACTAGAATGGTTGAGGGCTGGTGGTCCTCCTGGCGTGAGAAGCGAAGCGAGGTAGTTCTAGAGTATGAAAGGCTCAGCTGTTCGCTCGGGTTTAGGGTTTAGGGGTTTATAAGGGTGCAGGGTTTAGGGTTTATAATAAGGGTTTAGGGTTGATAAGGGTTTAGGGTTTATAAGGGTTTAGGGTTTCTAAGGGTCCCGGGTTTAGGGCTTAGGTGTAGGGTTAGGGGCAGCACTTGGGCTCAGGCGGACCCATCCGCTAGCAAAGATTATTGCGAGGTCGGTTTAGGGTTTAGGGTTTAAAACCGGCGACCTGGTTCACAATCGCAAAATGACCTGCACCAACACTGGCAACCTGGAGGTAGAGCCGACGTGTCGAAACATCCTCAAGCCGGCTGCTTCGAGCCCTGCGAGTAACAGCGAAGCTTTCTATCGAGCCTCGCATGCATCCCAAGTTAGCAGTACGTAAGACATATGCCTGAACCTCTCGCCAAAATTCCGATGATGGCCTGCTAGATTTGTAACTTGCGATTCCCGCATCCTGCAGCATTTTTCAATCCAAGATGTAGGAATGTAGGAACCGACACCACAGTCTACAGTCCCTGAACCCTGCCGCTGCATTGCGTCATTCCCAAGCCCCAAACCCCCAAAGCCTCAAACCCCTTTTAGGGTTTAGGGTTTATAGGGTGAACTTTCACCCCCCAAAAAAAACTCCTAGCCCTAAACCTTATAAACCCTAAGCTAGTAGCGGAATTTTAGTCGAGGCGGCCTGCGAGGAAGCAGCTTCGAGGCTAGGTGACAAGCCAAGAGCCACAACAAGGCCGTGGGAAAGAAAAGGACCTGGGATTCAGGGCTTAGGCGTTGTCGGTTCTGTGCTTTTGGATTCGACTTTAGGTCTCGGGGGGCTCTATTTATTTATAGGGCCCAAAACGACTGCTACAGCCGTTGCTATAACGCAGCAGAAACATGTTAGTACGGTGTGCGAGTGATGGACACACACGCAGCGGCTCATAATGGAGCAGTCTTTTTTATTATATGCTCGCGACTTCTGCCCCGGTCGTGCAGGCTTCCATCGCAGGAAACCAAAGGTTGTAGCTATTTCTGTACTTTCCACCCGGCGATCCTGCGTCTCATGATGTATACCGGGCTATGATCAAGCACTCCGTCTGAAGAGCCCAGCTCCAAGCTCTGAAGCCCCAAAACCTGAAGGTTCACAGTCGTAATGTAGGGGCCGGCCGTAATGATTAGAATAGGGCTTTGGTGTATATACTTCTGCTATGATTATAATCATAAGGACCCCCCAACAAATAGTATAGTAATAGGTGATTATTAATTAAGGCCCTAGAATTACCGCTGCTGAGTTGCTGAGAGGATGTACAACAGCGGCTTGCTCGTTCCTGCCAGCAGAGGGCGCCGCTTCTGTTTCCAACTACGAGCGAACGCAAATTGAAGAAAGCAGGGGCCAGAACCCGAAACCCCAAACCCTAAACCCAAAACTCTAAACCCCAAAACCCCTAAACCCAAAACTCAAAACCGTAAACCCCAAAACAAATAAGCCAGGAAGTGCAAGCGCTTTTCAAACAAATGCATGCGCTCTCGACCCGGTCCTGCCACACAGCTGAGAGCCATGCTGTCGACGTCGAGAACGAAGATCCTTCGAAGGTTTACGTAGGGTTTAGGCGGTTTAGGGTTTAGGGTCTTAGGGTTTAGGGTTTAGGGGTTTAGGGTTTAGGGTTTAGTGCTTAGGGTTGTACCAAGCTAAAGCGACGGATCTGTGGAGCTTCGCAAGACCTGCAGCAAAGATACATGGGCAAAGCGGTAGCCTTGTTCAGTAGCCCTTTGAAGATTAAAGTCAATCTGCAAGCTCGACAGGCGAACCACTACGGCAAGCCACGGTTCAGGGTTAAGGGTTTAGGTTTTAGGTGGCCGAAAGCTGTGCAATCGTTTAACATGCTTGCAACTGCGTCCTTGCCTTGGCTTAGGGTTGAGAGTTTAGGGCCACTAGGGTCGTTGCATCGGAAGGCAAGGGGATTAAAGAGCGCAACACAAACATCAACCATGATATACTACATGTAATGCTTACACTCATGTATGTGTAGGTATGTACACGTGCGCATACATAATATGTTCTGTATTATTTGCAGTCTCAAACACTGCTAAACTTCATCATGACAAAACCTTTCAGCTTCAGCTCTAAAGCCGAAAATCCCTAAACTTAGTTTCCCTTGCACAATAATATTCGAACTGGTCCACAAAAACAACTTTCCGTCAGCCACATGCCAAGTCTCTGGAGCAGAGCATAGACACCTCAGCCCAAGGATCATCTCGAATCCTAAGCCCTAACCTCTGAAGCTTCGAGAAAAAACACAATCACAGCAGCCAAATCCAAAATCCAACTCTGTAGAAACCCTTCACCATGAATCCAGCAAGTCATGAACATCATGATACCAGGTTGAAACATCGCAACAAACGACTCTAAATTCGCTATCACTGGGAAATCGCAACTAATGCGGAAAGGTTCAAGGTCTGGCTTTGGTGACAATTTTGGGGCTCTAGAACACCTTGATCTACTTTGTGTTTGCGGCTTCAGGAAGGGGGTGGGGGAATGACACCGGGTTTGCAAAGCTGGTGACCTTTGCACTAGTTGGCCCTGTCCCTTGCATCTCTCAACCGTTCAATTCTCCTGTCTATCGTTCCGTGTGTGAACCGTCCCAGACACCCAGCTTTACATCGAGAGAAGCCTCAGCAGAACCCCA